TTTTTTTTTTTTTTTTTTTTTCTGTAACTTGCAGCTGAACCTAATCTTGATTAATAGACTGTTTCTAAGTCTCTCCTATTGAATCCATCTGGAACCAGCACTGATCTTAATCTTCTCAACACAGTATCATGTTTATCATGTTCCTGCCCAAACACTATCAGTGATTTCCACATACCAGTAGGATAAAATCTAGACTTCTTAGCTTGGCATTCAAAACTCCATAATACGGCCCTACATTACCACGTTAGCCTCAACAACCACCCCCTAAACCCCCTCCCAACACACTCTCTTTCATCATCAACTCTCCATTCCAGCCCTGTAACTCCATACAACGTCTCTCGCTTTCTGCTGCTTGGATTGAGTTTATGACAGCTGAGATAGGAGTAAGTAAGCACTCTCTTTCAAAATGCAGTGTGAATGGAAACAAACTAAATGGCCCTGAACAGTAGAATAGATAAATAAATTGTGCAGTAGACATACAGTGGAATAGTATTCAGCAATAATGAATAATAAATTACTGTTTTATGCACTAATATGATGAAACTTACAAGTGTAATAGTGAACAAAATAAAATTCAAAATTAGGCAAAATTAATCTACAGTCACAGGAATCAGAACAGTGGTTACGTCTGGGGTGGTAGTGAATGGAAGGGGGCATGGCAGGGAATTTGGGATGCTGAAAATGTTGTGTTTCTTGATCAGAATGCTAGTTACACATGTGTTCACTTCAAGGACATTAATCCAGATGCATCCTTGATTTGTGCTCCTTTCTATATATATAGAGAGAGCATAGACAGATGGATGGATAGATACAGATAGATATATATCAATAAAGAAAGTTTACTTATTGTGATAGAAATTAGAACAGTGGTTAGCTTTGGGGATAGGTGATAGCAGTTAGGATACAAGGGGAGTTTCTGGAGTGCCAATCTGGGAAGTATTTATATGAGAGCGTTCTAGTTATAAAAATCCATTGAACTAAACCCAACGGTTTGTCACCTTTTTATATGAACCTTTGATAAAAATGTACTTAACAAATGAAGTGTGCAGCACCAGTCCAGGCACTGTTGCTGTCAGGTCCTACCATGGGCAGGGGGGTTAAGAGATGGGTGGGAGCTGCAGCAGGGACTTTGGAAAGAGTTTACCAGGTATTCTCTCTTGAGTGGGCCATGTGCACATCCTGGAAGGGGATGGGCAATAAGAATGAGGCTCCACAGGTGGTCATGATTTGGAATAACTTCTCAGGCACTGTGTTAGGCAGAATAGTGCCCCCCCCCCCACACACACAAGGTGTCCTCATCCTAATCCCTGGGACCTGTGAATAGGTTATGTTACATGACAAAGGGAATTTAGCTTGCAGATGGAATTAAGGTTGCTAATCAGCTGACCTTAAAATAGGGAGATTATCCTGGATTACCCAGGTAGGCCTAATGTAATCACAAGAGTCCTTAAAAGGAGAGGGAGGCAGAAGCAAGAACTAAAGACATGGCAGCCTGAGAAGGAATCAGCCTGACACTGCTGACTTTGAAGATGGAAGTGGGCAACAAGCCAAGGAGTGTGGGCAGACTCTAAAAGCTGGAAAAGGCAAGGAAGCATTCTCTCTTAGAGCCTCCAAAAGAAATGCAACCTTGCCAACACCTTGATGTTAGCCTGGTGGGGCCCATTTTGGACTTGTGATCTACAGAACTGTAAGATAAAAAATTTGTGTTGCTTTAGGCCACTACATTTGTGGTAATTTGTTAGAGCAGCCATAGGGAACTAATACAATAACCTAAAATAGCAACTGGGTAATCCAGTAGGCAGTGAGCCATACTCTCCACAGGTAGATAAAGGTTCCTCTGACAATACTCTTAGAAGAACTTTCCAAAAATCTTAGCTGGCCACTTGCTCAGCCACTGATTTTACATGCAGATATTTTGGTGAAAAATTCATTAGTTTCAACCAACTAAGTCTGAGCACTTACCACAACCTACACACTACGCTGAACTAATTTTCACTTTCCTTACCTCATTGAACCCTCACAACAACCCTATGGTATAGATAGGACCAGGTCCATTTGGCAGGTAACGTAACCAAGGCTCAGATAGTAACCATAAGTGTAGCTAGTAAATACTGAACACCTACTCTGAGCCAAGCACTATACTAAGCACTTCATGTGTGTTAACTAATTTAATTCTCCCAACAGTCCTATCCCGGCATTTGCAGATGAAGAAACTGAGGCACAAAAAGAGTCTAAGTAACTTTTCCAAATCCTTATAGGTGGTGAGTGACAGGGCTGGGACTGGAACCTAGGCCCTTTGGGTGCCTTTGGGATATACCCCCACTACCTCTCACCTCTGTCAATGTCACAGTTATCATCATCATCACTACCCACTACTGACAACAGCCTAGGTCTCTGGAATTGAGCCTAGCCCAGCCATTCCCTCTGAGCTTCTTCAGTGTCCTGCTGGGTATGGCACTGGTGGCTGTCTGTCAAACTACATGGCAGGGTTCAAGGATGACCTCACAGGCTGGAGCTTGACAAAGTAGTAACCTTGGAAGGTCTCCCTGAGCACTGTTTACTAGCAACAGTAACGGCATGCTCCACACTTTCCTTGGCGCTTCAACTTCCCTCTTCCTCTGATCCTCCTGAGTAATTCTCACATGCATCTTAAGCAGGAGAGTGCCCCTTAGCTTCCTTAGAAGCTGAGGAATCCCAAGAAAGATCCTCCCTTGGCATGTGCTATAGACCAGAGAGGAGCAAGTCTCAGGAATATAGCATCAGAAACTCACCAACTTGATTGGTCTTAAACCTGGACTGCTCATCACTAAGTCTTAGCATCTCCTCTCTTTTCTGCTATCCAGCTTCACACCCCACCACATTGCTCAGGCCAGCACTTACACCCATCCCACCCTCTGTGGCCTGCTTTTCCTAAGACCTGAGCCTGTGCCTTCCCACCCCCTCACTCACCGCTTGTCTTAGGTACCAGCCAGAGCTGTTTCTAGGCAAGCTGTGGAGTTTCTTTCCAGAACCTCCAATGGTTCTCTTATTCCTTCTCTACCTTTCAGGGAGTCACCATCATTTTCTCTTTCCTTAAATCTGAGGCCTCGTCTCAACTACCTTTTGCTGAACAGAGACATATTGTGTTAGCTGATAAGAGCTTAGGGCCTGACAATTGTCCAAGGATATTTCAGATTTGGACTCTGCTAAGACACCTCTGGAGCCCTTCTGGCTAAGTGGTTAAGAGTTTGGCTGCTAACCAAAAGGTTAGCAATTCGAATCCACCATCTGCTTCTCGGAAACTGTATGGGGCAGTTCTACTCTGTCCTATAGGCCTTGGAGGACTGTGGGAGCAAGGAGCCTTGGAGCCCTGATTTGTAGAAAAGAGAGGGGGGCATGAGACTAAATCCTATTGGTGGGAATAAAAGTGTAGATTGATGGAAAAACAGGAGGTGAAGAGTTATAGGAATCTGCATTCTCAACAAAGGATTCTAAGGAACCAAGTTTTAGGGACCAAGAGGAAACTTTCCAGGCCATAAACCCATCTTGGTATCTTGACAGGGTTTTATGAGTCTGTCCCTGAAAGCAAGCAGGGAGACCTGTGCAGGAGTGGGCTCCTGAATAGAAAACTCTGATGGAATGCATGTGGATTATCTGCCACCCTCACACATCCAGGCAGAACCTCTCTTCTAAATTGGGAAGGAGGTGAATTCCTTGCTTTTTCTGGAAAGATGGGTGACAGAGCTCATCTCACCTTAGGATGCTCCTAAAACTGTTCTAAGGACTTTACTTGTAATATCTTGTTTAATACAACAACCCGGTAGGTATTATCATCCCCATTAGACAGATAAGCAAGCCGAGGCAAAGAATAGTTGGGTCAGTTGCCCAAGTCATCAACTCTGTAAGCTTTACAGCCAGGACTTGAACCCAGGCAGGCTGACCTCAGAGTCTGCTCTTGACCACCCACCCTATGTCCACTTGACTGTCTCTTGACAGCTGGGCTCTGATTTATAACAATCTGGAGTTTAGTCAACTGGGTTTGCTCAAGGTGTGTGTTCCAGAGGAGTGCCGTCTTGTGCACCCAGTCCCAGAGATCATCCAAGGGGCTCTATTATTGTTCTGTCTTCTCCAGAAGCTGTCCTCTGGGTCTCCAGCAGCTACCACAAAATGCCCTTCCCTTCCTCTTCTTCCTCCCACAATATAGGGATGCTGGAGCTTCAGCTTTAGGCTCAAGAACAAAATCCAGATGACACGAGGCATTAAAATACTAGCCTACCGAGGGGGTAAAATGGGAATCATTCGGCCTGCCAGTAAAATAGGATCACATTGGAACCCCGCTCAACAAGTCTCTGCATCCCTAGGTTGGTGCGGATCGGACATGAAGGCCCCCGCTGCGGGCACAGCGCCCCCACGGGGCACTGCGCCGCCAGCGCGCCCAGTTCGTCCGCGGGGGGCGGCCAGACCTCTCCCCGCCAAGGGCCGGACAGCGCCGCCCACCCCTCAACTGCTCTCCCCAGAGGGGTCGGGAAGCGACCGGCCCGGGGCAGGAGGGAGCGCCTGGCGCTCGGGGCTGCGCGGAGCCGCGGGGTTCGGGGCGCGGGCTGGGGCGCAGGCCTGAGGAGACCAAGCCGCGAGCGCCCGTCAGCCCAGGCTGTATGTGTCTGTTTGTCTGTCTGCGCCTCGGGGCGCCGGGCTGTGCAGAGCCCCGGGAAAAGCGCGCCGCGCTCACCTGCAGCCACAGCCGGCACGCGGGGAGCCTCGAGACAGGGGCGCAGCCACCCCGGGCTTCCTCGTTGGCCTCCTCGCTTCTCCGAGAGCCGCGGCTCTCCTCCGAGGATCGCTCGTGGGAGCCGAGGAAGAAGCCGGAGCTGCTATCGCTGCCGTGGCAGCCGTCTCCTCCTTCGCCGGCGCCTCCAAGTCCCATTCCAGAGCGCTCCACTCGCTCGCTGGCTGCCTGGGAGGCTCTGGGCGCGGGCGGGCGGGCGCTGGAGGCGGCGCCGCGGCGAGGGTGGGGAGCGGGCCGGGCGGAAGGAGGGGTGTCCTCTTTGGGGATGGGGCAGGCGCGGAGAAGGAGCGGCCGCGAGTGCAACCCCACCCTGCAGGACAGCCCCTGGAGCTGGGCTCCCTGGCCGTGCGTCCTGCCTGCTGCCACCTTGCTCCGTCCCAGGCTGGGATCAGACCCCAGGGGTCAGGAGCGGCGGGCTCAGAAAACAGGGGGGTTTTCGGGGCTTGGCTGGTGAAGACTCTACTGGGGGAAGGTCCTGACTGTGGGAGGCATCCATCAAAGACGATAATGAAGAAAACGAAAGTGATGAAAGTTGGGATAATTGTTGACAAGTGCCAGGAGCTGTCTTGGTAGTGCCCAGATCACCCCACCAGTGCCAATTCATACTAACAGAGGGCCCGCTGGCTGGGACAGGCTCCGGGGTGGGGGAGGAGGTAAGGATGCCAGACGGAGAGGAGACAAGGTTCCTACCCTGAAGGAGCAATGAGAGTCTAGTTCAGACAAGACTTTTGAAATTATGGGTGAAGACATTTGCAACTTTGTAAAGTGGGGGAGCCTCACCTTAGAGGTCCCCACCGAGCCCGTAGAGGGATGCAGAAGACAGAAGGATTGGTCAGTGGCAGGAAAACGGGCTGGTACCCCACTCTGTGCAACAGGCCAGGACCATTTCCTAATAAGGGCTACACAGATTCTACCCCAAACCACTAACGCAGCGCGCCCAGTTCAGGTTTTAACAAGCTACAGGGAGAGGCAGCAGAACCAACGCATTTCAAAACCTCTGGATGTGCCAGAGTCTGATCATTTAAGCGCACTTGGCTGCCTTTGTTTTGTAACTATTATGCCTATTTGATGACAGAGTTGGTTTCTGAAATATGAATAATAAACACCAGGTACAAAATCAATTCTTCAGAAGGCTCAAAAAAAGAAAAAAAAAAAAAACCTCAAACCCATTGCCGTCGAGTCCGACTCATAGTGACCCGATAGGACAGGGTAGAACTGCCCCATAAGGGTTTCCAAGGCTGTAAATCTTTACGGAAGCAGCCACATCTTTAGTCCATGGAAGTGCCTAGTGGGTTTGAACCGCCCACCTTTCTGTTAGCAGCTAGGCGCTTATCATCGCGCCACCAGGGCGCCTTTCAAAAAAGCTCAGAAAAAAAAAAAACAAAAAACAAATCCATTGCCACCCAGTCGATTCCAACTCACAGCGACCCTATAGGACAGAGTAGAACTGCTCCATAGGGTTTCCAAAGAGCGGCTGGTGGGTTTGAACCACCCAGCTTTCGGTTAGTAGCCGGGCGCTTAATCATTGCACCACCAGGGCTCCCTTCAGAAAGCTCCCGGAGCAGGTAATTACAATTCTAACCATAGGCAGAAGATTAGCAAACTCAAGCCATCCAACAGCTCAGCGGTACCATGATACCACGAAAGAATTTTGGCTAAGGCTCCCTTTGCCTGCACTGTAGGCCCACGGGGTGATCCTGGCTGCTTACAGTGATCAGAAATACCAGTTTCTTTGTACGTCTTTGGGAGGAGGTGGATGGAGGTCAGAAAGCAGAGGAAAGTCTTCAGCAAATGTTTGGTCTCTGAAGTCTTGGATCCCACAGAAAAAAATTCTTCCTGAGGCTAGGCCAGTGAAAATCCCCTAAGAGCTGGAAAGCTGAGTTACAGTTTCTGGAAATTTACAATTAAAATGTGTTGCCTTATTCCAAGACACCGGTATGATCCAGTAATGTATCAGGAGAACAATAGCAATCCTGAAATCCTTGTAAATTTTAAGGAAATTAGTAACTGATTTCAGCAACTGTGGTGTATGCCAACTAAAATGAGTGTTTTTCCCCCCAAGGACTTCTATCAGAATTCTTTAGAACCGGAAATCTCTGTAGGAAGCATGTCTGGGGCCAACTCAAATAGGTCAAGTGAGTTGTTCTACCTTGTGGGATGATCTTCAGGTCTTGCCAGAAAAACAAAATGAAGCAAAAGTGAACTCAGTGTCCTGAAATACCAAGTCAGAAAACAAATTCCCTTAATTTCTTGGTTGTCTTCAGGGTGAACACAAGTTGATAATAATAATAGCTGATGGGAAAAGTCTGAATTTGGCTTTTTTCACTAGGCCCTACCACACACTGGTTGTACAGAGAACCTTATTCAGAAGTATGGGGTTAAGATTTTCAGTTCTCATGTGGACACTCAAGTAAGCAGATAAGAATGAGGGTGTGTAGTGTCTAAGAGTTCACTAGTTAGTTGAAATTGAGAGCTGTTTAAACTAATTACACCTTGGTAGCTATACTCTGGGGGGTGCAAATGGTTAATTGGCTGCTAACCAAAAGGTTGGATGTATGAGTCCACCCAGAGGCACCTCAGAAGAAAGGCCTGGTGATCTACTTCTTGAAAAATTTGCCATTGAAAACCCTCTGGAGCACAGTTCTATTCTGACACACATGGGTTGTCATGAGTCGGAACTGACTCAATGGCAACTGATCTTTTTAGCTATACTCTGGATCAATTTTCAGTTCTCTGTCTCCACATGGGATCTATTATGGAATAAAGGTTGCAAGGGTAGTGATTTGACTAAGGCCTCTCATTCATGAACAGCCTCATATATAGACTTTTGACATAATAGACATTCATTTGCTCCTCGTAAACACTAAAACATTTTCCTTTTGTTTTGCATTAGAATCCTTTCTACTTGGCTTAGAGGGCAGATTGAAATGAGTCTTTATCAAACACAAAGGGGACCGGGATAAGAGGAAACCAAGGAGCAGCCAGGTTGGTTCACAGACCCATAGCCTACATAAACCTTTTACTGAACGAGTGAGAAGAAAATAAAATTGCAATGTTACCTCACGTGCACTGCGTTTCTCTAGGCAACTGATGATGTTCTGTGTAAACTGTTGGAGCTCCTCTCCCTCTCACTCAAGTAGAAGGGCAGGTTGTCTCACCTGAGAGAGGAGACATCTCCGCATCGGGACAGCCGCCCATTTGAGGGAGCTGGAGATGTGGGGTGGAAAGAGAGCACTATAAGGCAGTGGCTGGGCTTCCACTCTAGCCCAGGGTAGGGAATCCTCCTAGCCGGGGTAGTGCTTCCCTCTGGATGCCCTCAACATGGACAGCTGATTCCATGTCCAGAGGGTCCCCTTGAGGATAGGCTGGCTGGTGGCACCATTGTCCCAGATGAGATTGTTTCTGAATAAACATATCATCCCACATGGAAAGGCAGAATGAAGGTGATGTTAGGTGCCGTCCTGTCGATTCTGACTCACAGAGACCCTATGTACAACAGAATGAAACACTGCCCTGTCCAATGCCATCCTCACTATTGTTGCTATGCTTGAGCCTGTCATTGCAGCCACTGTGTAAATCCATCTTGTTGAGGATCTTCCTCTCTTTTGCTGACCCTCTACTTTACCAAGCATGATGCCCTTCTCCAGGGACTGGTTCCTCCTGATAACGTGTCCAAAGTACGTGAGATGAAGTCTCACCATCCTCGCTTCTAAGGAGCATTCTGCTATACTTCTTCCAAGATACATATGTTCGTTCTTCTGGCAGTCCATGTTCAGTTCAATATTCTTTGCCAACACCATAATTCAAAGGCATTAATTCTTCTTTGGTCTTCCTTATTCATTGTCCAGTTTCCACAAGTACATGTGGCGACTGAAAACACCATGGCTTGGATCAGGTGCACCTTAGTCCTCAAGGTGACATATTTGCTTTTTAACCCTTTAAAGAGGTCTTTTCCAGCAGATGTGCCTGATGCAATACGTTATTTGATTTCTTGACTGCTGCTTCCATGGCTGTTGATTGTGGATCCAAGTAAAATGAAATCCTTGACAACTTCAATCTTTTCTCTGTTTATCATGATGTTGCTTATTGGTCCAGTTGTGAGGATGTTTGTTTTCTTTATGTGGAGGTGAATGTAATCCATACTGAAGCCTGTAGTGTTTGATCTTCATCAGTAACTGCTTCAAGTCCTCTTCACTTTCAGCAAGCAAGGTTGTGTCATCTGCATACCACAGGTAGTCAATGAGTCTTCCTCCAGTCCTGATGCTGCGTTCTTCTTCATACAGTCCAGCTCCTCAGATTATTTGATCAGCATACAGATTGAGTAAGTATGGTGAAAGGATACAAGCTTGACGCACACCTTTCTTGATTTTAAACCTCACAATATTGCCTTGTTCTGTCCAAACAACTGCCTCTTGGTCTAAGCACAGGTTCCTCATGAGCATAATTAAGTGTTCCAGAATTTCCATCTTCACAATGTTATCCATAATTTGTTATGATCTACAGTCGAATGTCTTTGTGTAATCAATAAAACACAGGTAAACATCTTTCTGACATTCTTTGCTTTCAGCCAAAATCCATCTGACACCAGCAATGATGTCCCTCATTCTGCATCCTCTTCTGAATCAGGCTTGAATTTCTGGCAGTTTCCTGTCGATGTACTGCTGCAACCGATTTCGAATGATCTTCAGCAAAATTTTACTTGCATATGATATTAATGATATTGTTTGATAACTTCCACCTTCTGTTGGATCACCTTTCTTCGGAATGGGCACATATATGGATCTCTTCCAGTCTGTTGGCCAGGTAGCTGTCTTCCAAATCTTGGCATAGATGAGTGAGTGTCTCCAGCGCTGCATCTGTTTGTTGAAACATCTCACTTGGTATTCCATCAATTCCTGGAGCCTTGTTTTTCACCAATGCCTTCAGTGTAGCTTGGACTTCTTCCTTCAATGCCATCATTTCTTGATCATATGTCACCTCCTGAAATGGTTCAATGTCGACCAATTCTTTTTGGTACAGTGACTCTGTGTATTCCTTCCATCTTCTTTTGATGCTTCGTGCATTGTTCAGTATTTTGCCCATAGAATCCTTCAGTACTGCAACTCAAGGCTTGATTTTTTTCCTTCAGTTATTTCAGCTTGGGAAATGCCAAGCATGTTCTTCTCTTTTGGTTTTCTAACTCAAGGTTTTTGCACATCTCTTTTTAATACTTTACTTTGTCTCCTCGAGCTGCCCTTTGAAATCTTCTGTTCAGCTCTTTTACTTCATTATTTCTTCCATTCACTTTA